GAATGGACGCTTCTCGAATCGGTCATTTCAATTAGACGTTCGAAATTAAATAGCGACCGACCAAACTTTTAGCAAAGAAAACAAAACCGAGTAAACAAATCGAATGGGATTTGTGTGGTCAAAGGCGAAATTTTATAGCATGGTCCATCGAAATAGAGATAGATAAATAAACCTAAGCTCCAAGTGTTTTTTTTTCTGATATTCACGTGGATTTTAATTCATGATGTGATAAAAATCGCGTTACGATCGCGCCTTACTTCGATGAGTTGTCTAAATTAAGCTAATGAACATACCGCTCAATGAGAATAGAACTGTTTTAGACGAAAAGAAGACGAATGAGAAGCAGGAAGAGAAGATGGCAAAGTGAGCAAATATCATGTATGAGGTTCTATCGTTGCGGTTCAGTGGAATTCAAATTTACATCGTAATATTCATTTGTGCTGCGTGTACACGCTGCTATCGCTTCGCTCGCATTATTTTCGATCTTTTCTCTCGACATTCTTGCGAACATCTTTAATTAAGAAAAAAAGAAGAAGAAGAAGAGAACACACGAACACGTTGTGAGTGTTTGTGGGTTTTTTTCTGTGTTCAGTTCCCTCGAATACTCACGCATATATGGACTGTTTTGCCTCAAATGAGCCGTTGATCTCACTACTGTCGGAAAAATTGAAATAATATCGTTGGTTTCTTTTTTTTATACTTGAATTGCGTTCTTTTTTCCTCTCTTTCCTTCCTTACATTTGACTTGGAACTTGACGCATTCTGTTCCTCTCATACCTTAATGTTTGGCTTTTTTTATCATTCGCTTCAGTTGGTTTTATTGCTATTGTTGCCGGTTTTGTGCCGTATTGTAACACACTCAATGCGACTTACTCTTTCTGTAATGGTAAAATAATTGCAGACTGTGTACCAGTGCCTAAACTAAGTGCCTACAACAATCATTTCAATAAAATGATTCGGAATGGAGAAATGAAAATCAAGAAGTAAACAAAATATACATAGTAATAATACGAGGGGCAACAACTAGCAACATTTATTGAAACACAATATAATTGAACATATGAACGCATATGCTGCTGACCGAAAAGTAAACAAATAAAACTTTGGCTATAAATGGCAGACGCAGCATTACATGCATCGGCTATCCTCGTCGATTTTCTTTCAGTTTCGCCATACTTTTCCAGTCACTTCACACACAAACCGATTTCGGAGCCGGCTGATTTATAGCCCTTTTTAGCACACCGAGAAGCGTAGTTCTAGCGAAGAATATTTTTAGGAAGATTTCTTCCATAAGTTCTGTCTTAAGTCTATTTTTTTACATTATTGAATGTAAAATTGAATCCGACTGTTTGTTGAAAATGAAGGAAACGGTACGGTGGAGAGGAATGGTTAAAAAAAACACTAGCGCATTTATTTACGAAGGTATCTCCACTAATAAATTGTTAATTAATATTAATTCCAACACTAAAATGCTAATTCAAACTTTCATATGCGAAAATATTTCGTGTTTACTTCAGATTTTGTGGAACAAAGAATTCGTTCTTCGATCATGGTTCTGGGCATATTAACAATTATTCTGGTCACATCCACAGAATTCTGGTTTTGTTTAATTCAATATCTGTCCATTTTCCGCCGCTGAAAATATTTTGATCACAACAAAATCCTTATCTTTCGTTGAAAAGACAAGCCTCGCTCATAGATGCTCATATTCGAATCAGCACCCAATCCTCAATGAAGCAGCGGACCTAGCAGCGGACTTGTCGGCACACTCATGGATTTAGCATTTCACTTGCCTTGGCGATTCGTGAGTTGCCGAAGCATCATATATAAAGTGCATTCGATATTTAACGTGAAAACCTATATTCGGTACATCGAAGTTGCCCGAGGTATGATTTCGTTTGCGCGTAGCGCGTAAGCAATTCACTTGCGATGTATAGTATATAGGGATTCACGCCGACAAGTCCGCTGCTTCATTGAGTCGTTCCCAAAATGGGTATCTGTTAGTTATTGCATACACTATCCAAATTGAATATCCTCAGCTGGTTTTTGTGGAAATGTGTTCCCATCTTTGATGCCTCTTTATGACCAAATGTGGTCATTTCCACCAGATTTTCGTTCTAAATGTGGATTTTCGTCAATGAATAGCATCCAATTACGTTAAACATGCTCATCTATTGGATCAGATATACATGTTAATCTCTTGCAACTTTGTGAATGTCGAATTAGTAAAACCGAAAATCACAAATTACACCTTTTCGTGGTTTCGACTACGATCCATAGTAAATTCGACGAGAAAAAAACGATGCGCGCCCGGGAAAAAAATTCTAAGAAATATAATAATAAAGAATTTCGACCATGTTTACATAATACAAATGCGGTCGTTGTCCATATAAATACATTTTGTTATTGTCTCGATAATTTATTGTTGGTAATTAGTATTTGCGTGTGATGTTGTGTGAGTACTTGAAAATGTTCAAGGACAATGAATTTTTAATGCGAAATGCTCGTGTCGTTTGTGTTTCGAGGGTTTGCAAAAAAAATTATCATCCGCATAATGATGGCGATGACCCGTGAGAGTGTGTGTGAGAGAGAGAGCGAGATTGAAAACCCCATTACTCGACCAATGAGCCGAAGCGGTTAAGATTTGATTCGGTACCAATCTACTGTGTTCTGAGTTTTTCGTTTGAAAAACAAACCGCCCAGATTCCAGAGATGACGATGCTAACATCGTTGAGAAATCCATTCGAGTTCGGATGAAACCGCGCATTTCATCATATACAGGCAGACAGATACACGCATAAAAAAGTTTACACGACTCAGTCAAGTCATTTCATTCGCTCTATTTATTTTGTCGCATTGCGTAATAATTTGAAGTTGAAAACCAAAAAAAAAGTATTTTGTTGTTTAAATGTTTCAAAGTAATAGCTGCAATTATTAATTGGCGGCGACAATTTACTATAACTTTGAGACGGATGATGTCGTCAATATCGGTATGACAAATCGGCATTCGCCCACATTTGCACCCGATAGACCGAGAGTTAATCGTGTGTGTTTGTCGAGCGTAATAAACTTGAAAATATATCATTTAACCGCCCATTCTCATTGCCAATTAATTGGAATGTATCGATATTGTTGACGACTTCAACAACAACGACGACGACAACGACGACAACAATGTTGACAATGATGGAGAATGGTATTCAGGGGTGTTTATTTGTTATATCACCATATTCGAATCGTAGACGGTTGCAGTTTGATAACAACAGCAACAGCAACAGCAACAAAACAAATCGTGTGTGTTGGAAAATCCAATTAAGAATTTGCATGACAAAGGCAGGTGTGAGCGTGCTTATGAAATTTTCTATATCGTTATGCAATATCAGCCACCCACATCCGTTCTAATAATAATTCAGGCAAATCAGATGCAAGTACACGCAGTTGCACATAAGTTTGGATATAGAATGATGGCAATTGTGTGCCCATGAATGTGTAATTATGCAACTTCGTTTCCCGCGCGCATCGCACATAAAAGGATTCGAGTGGAGACTTTCCATCCAGAGACTATTGTCCAAACAACAAGAGATGAGAGACTTGATGTTATATAAGCTGTTCCGTTCGGATGAAATTCAAAGTCTTTATGATATTGCGAAACCTCTGGAAAAAAATATTTGATACGCAAAATAAAATCATTTTGACTCTCATAACAACTCTTTTTTTGGAGTCAAAAGAATACACAATGCGATAAAACGAAAACAAAACAAGAGAGAAAAAATACGGAGTCAAGTTCCAAGAGTGAATGTGAAATGGGAATTTAAATTCGGCGGGGAAACATCGCATATGAAATGATGGCGGTGATCACGCGTGCGTGTCACCCTAAGCATTTAAATCAAGCTTCTCGTCGCTTGTTCATTCAAATGGTACAATGTGTTTTTTTCTCTTTCATTTTTATTCTCATGAAACACACACACACACACACACACACACACACACACAGAGAGAGAGAGAGAGAGAGAGAGAGAGAGAGAGAGAGAGAGAGAGA